GAAGCACTCAGCTCAAATGTCAAATGTCAGTTTTCCAAAATATTTTTGGGGGAAATGTATGAGGCTGAAACTGGGGGGGGGGGAAGGTGGGGGGGGGAGTGGGGGTCTTTCTCGGAAGCAGGACGGATGAGATCTGTGTTGACGTCAAGCGGTTTGGCGAATGAGTCCTCTATTACAATATGTTGTTGGTCACCGTTCAGGAAGCATTTGGACTAAAAATTCCACATTGCTCAGTCGAATTCCCCTATCACTTCAGCCTTTTTGAGTTTTTTTTTGTAAGTCCAAACACCGCTTTAGTTATTGAAAAACTCATAATATATAATTTCGCTGGTAACACACAAGACATGATAGGGCACCACACAGCACGCCACTCAGGGGATCCTCTGGAACCGGTGCGGCCAATCGCGCCACTTGAACGCCAGGACGGCCACGTCCGCGAGGAAGACGAGGCCGAGGAGGGAGGACGCCACGCCGGAGCCCAGGACCCGAAGGGTCAGCTTGGCGGGGGGCACGCCGACCGCGTTCTTCAGCAGACAGACTCCCGAGATCAGGTAGAACAGGGTGCACACTGCTCCGTGGAACAAATCCTGAAGGACCAAAACGAGAGAAAGATAGCCAAAGATGCCACTGACAATACTTGCCAAATACGAGATGAATTCAGTAAGTTTGCCCTGTTAATTTATTGTAAGAAAATCTCTTGGAACAGTGATATTCTTCGAGTCAATTTTCAACATGCCCCCCCCCTCCCCCGCCCCCGGCCCCAGTTTTCCACAAACATTTCAGTGACGTATCCACTTCTGGAGGACGGCACTAATGGTTTCAATAGGGGCACATCTGCCATACTAGAAAATTGCCGAACCCAACGCAATACTGTCAGAAAGTCCCCTCCCCCCTCCCTCGCAGGAGTTTATCTCGGATCCAGGACCGTCGGGAAAAGCCAGAGACTCGTAAAGGGAACTGCCTCGAAGGGAACATGGTGGATCCTCCGACACCTTCAGACGGCCAAGAAGGAGCCCATTTTGCACCATCGCAATCCAACTCCACGCCGATGGCTGACTCCTATCACGGATGATTTTTATTTGAAATGCTCAATTCTCCGGCATTTCTGGGATAAATCGCCTAGAGAAGCTTTCACGAAATCGGGGACCCTAACTTTAAGGTTTAGGAACTCAAAAGATTTTGTTCCATTTCTGTTCCAGTACCCCACATCTCACGTTATGCATGCATGTCATGCCATATTCCCGAAAATTGGTAGGAATAGAACTCCAGGGAAATAATTAATGTTAAAAATTCCCGAGAAAACGTCTTCATCCGCGAGAAATGAGAGCGACATCCTTTGAACATCGCGGAAGAGAGTTCCCACAGTAGACCTGCACTCCATCCCGAGGAAGTTCCCAGAGACATCGGAAGACGCGAGGAATACGGGCGGTCCTCGCCCACGGTAGCTTGGGAGGTCGTTGCACGAGACTCACGATGGGGCCGGGATCGTGACCGAAGAGGATGGCGACGGGGAAGACGAGAGTCGAGATGAATAGCCCCAACAGGCACCCGAGAATCACATTAGCCGTATCGATGTCGAAGGCGAAAGTAGCGAAGCTCGGATCGAATGGACGGCCCTCCGACTTCTGCGCCGCCAGGATCGCTGCTATTCCCTGCGCCTCCCGGAACATCCCCAGCGCCAGAATTCCCAGCACCTGGAGCACGGAGAGCGCCAGAATCCCCAGCACCTGGAGCGCGGAGAGCGCCGGGATCCCCAGCACCTGGAGCGCGGAGAGCGCAGTCGTTCCAACGCTCTACGGCCCCGAGTGAGTGATGGGCGGGACTCACGAATTCGCAGTATTTGAAGCAGGCTGCGGGTTTCGTCATGGCTTCCACGTATGTCTTCATGGCTCCGTCGCCTGCAATCTACTCGGTGAAATGCGGCGAAATGTCTCAGACTGTAACAGAAGCACAAGTTGAGCCCTTCGCAGGAACGATATAATGTCAAATCGTATGCGGGTCGTCCCGTGTCAAAATTCTAGTCCTTCCACACACATTTGCGGGACAAATCGGCATTCTTTGCATTACGATGAACTCATAAATTTGCTAAAGTCCAAAAACGTCTATTTCAAAGGTCGAACTGCTTCCAAGATTGGAAGCAGTTCAACCAACTGATT